ATTTCGTCAGACTAGTCGCGTTAAAATTACTCGCTCGAGGTGTTCTTTAAGTATTTTTTAGTTGTAAATATAAATTAAACATTAAAGTTTTATCAAAAAAGAGTATGTGTGTATATTTTTATTGTTTTTTAAAAAGTGTTACAATCTTTATCGAACAAAATTACACATTTATGAGACAAATTTTTTTACTTTTAGGACATTTTAATATTATTTTGAAACATTATATCATTTTGAAACACTTTTGTTTTTTATTGGGACAAATTACAAAGTAATGAGACAAATTTTTATTGTTTTGAAACAAAATTGAATATAGGTGCAATTTTAATTTGTTTTGAGACAAATTCAATTTATTATGAGACTTGTTTCATTTGAATCCGAACTAACTGTATTAACAATAAAATTAAACTATTATTTATTATTTTTTTTGAAAAAAAACAAATTTGTATTTAGTAAAAATAAATAACATTTTGACATACAGTCAAAGTCGTCTATTTGTCGGAATTACAATTGTCGAAGTTGCTTAATTGTCGCACAACTGGCCAATAATTTTGGTTTACGACAATTAAATATTTTGTTCTCGAATCTGTAACTTTTGTTGAATTAAAAACTAAATTTTTTATAAAAAATAAATTTCAATATTAATAAGAATTTTCTACACAGTTCACTCATTTACGACAAATATATAATATTTTCTGCTGGATTCAAGACAAATAGACGCCTTTGACTGTTTTAACTTTACGAAGCGAAAACTGGATAAATTCTATCATTGTTTTTTTTACTAAAAATAAGTCTTTTTTTAATTTAGTATTTAAACTAAAAAGATCTTTAATTAAGAACAGCTTGTCACAAACCAATTTAAATTATGAAAACCCGATAAATTCCTAAGCTCTTAAATAAAAACACTTATGCATGTCTCGTAACAGCAAGTATTTACAATTTTGAACATGTTGAAAATGGAAACAAGAATCTGTAAAGATTATAAAATTGCGCAAAAACTATCTGATTTTATGTTTTGGAATTTGTATTTAATCATTCTAAAATAAATTATGATCTACAGATAGAGTAGCAAATAGGCGCCAGAAACTTAAGGGGCGCCAAGAAACTAAAGAATTGATCGTAGTAAAAATTCAGGTTTTAATTTTTTGTTTTTTATTTGTTTTTTTTTCTTAATAATAATTGATATAAAAATGGGTGCCAAACTCATTTCAATTCTTAAAATAATTCTGGCACCCAATAAGTTTCTGGCACCCTCGTAAATACTCGATCTGTTCATTAATTATTTTTGATTTATCAAGTTTTCATATTCCAACAAAAAAGTTGATTCAGTTAACTTGTCAGGTTGACATTAAGAGTATGATAAATTTCAATAATTTACATAAAATCCATATTAAATAATGGTATAAAAACAATTTATTTTTGAAATATTCGTATTAATTAGTATTCACAAATTTATACAGTGGTTTTTGATAGTTGAATTTTTTTATTCAAATTATAAAATTGATTTTATAATTTTTTGGTTAACCAATTAATATATTCTTTTTGTACTTCTTTTTTCAGGTGAAGAGGAAAAATAACAACTTATTTAAAAGAAAGAAGTACAAAAAGAATATCAAATGTAATTAATGAGTTAAACCACATCCAAAATTTTGTATTTTTAAATTTTTTAAAAATTGTTTCCTTCAAAAATATTTGTGTTGTTCTATTTTTTCCATTTATTCTGCACCGAAAAAAGTATAATTACAATTTTTTTGATTCCTTGAAATTTTAAAAATAATTCATACAAACAAAGCTTT